GTTGCCTGATCGAACAAATGCCGCAGTTGAACCGAAATTGATACAAAATAAGAGGATTGGTCGGTACGTTTTTATCACTTTCTTCGTCTTCATCCGGAAAAATTTGATGCGGTAAGTTGTAGCACAGTCAAGCTCGAGTTGAGCGAGAATACGAAATTGCTTGCCTTATATGTATTCCTGAAAATACTGGTTTTTGTCTAGATGCGTCAATTTACTGAAGGAAATTTTAATTCAGGGAAGTTATGCAGCTGCCGTCCGGATCGCCACAAGGTTTGCTGGAATTTCTTAAATATTCGGCAATTTACGGAAAATTTGATACAAAGCGAAACTGGATAGGCCTTTAAAGTTGCATGAGGTTTCGGTCAACGAAGCGGCCACACAAGACTGTCTTCGACAACCAGTGCTGCTAATCAGGCTCGACGAATTGTTCCCACTTGCTCGGCAGATGGCTAAAAAATTTTTGTGTCTCCCTGCAAATTTCTTCGAGTTTTTAACTTCCTGATTTATAGCTTTGAAAATTTAGCGGTCAGGAAAAGAGAGCCTGAAAGTACAAGAACATGCTAGTTGGTAAAGAACTTTGAACAGGTTATGAAATGAAATAGGATTATTCACATCTGGAGCATTATAATCATGATCCCTGCCGTCTCAAACTTTAATTTGAGGGTGTTTTCCAGGCTGATAGTGATGCTTTAACAAACTGGATTAAATGAAAAAAAAGTTCGTTTTAAATGCCTGTTGATCTTGACTGACGAAGTGCCAAGGGAAGAAAAAGTTTCAGTCTCGGAAAATATCGAATTTGCTCACATCAACATACTTGCAAAATTTTTGCTATACCGTGAGGAATTCAGATATAAAAAAATTAAAGGGCACCCAAAGAAAACACAGAATTAGCCTCCAACTGCATGTCTATTCTGGCAAAAAACTAACTTCGAAATGACCAAAAGGCAGCATTTCTGGAAAATCCCATTTTTCCCTCTTTGCCTCAGCATCTCCTTCCCTCATCCCTTCTTTTTGTTAGAATCTGCATATATATGTCAGTGCTGTAATTCACAGTGCTATTCAGCTATATATGTTTTAAATCCTTTTTTAGGTGGTAAAAGGCGCGGGATGCAGTTACGTGAAAGGAATGAGGAAGGGCGATACAGAACTGAAGAAGCAACGGATGTCGATGGTTATGGATCCATTTTATCCCAGTGAGCCGTCCCAATCACCGCATAGCTCTGCTTCAACCGTGTAGGTTAATTATACAACACTCACTCACACCATAGTCCTGAATAATTAGCTTCTCTCGTATTTATACTAATTAGGCCTGGATTAGGTGTAGCACTTTCCACGCAACCCGATCAATCAGTCCCATTCACTTTTGAAGAATACATCTCATTTGCTGCATATAATTTAAGAAAGCCTAGTTACATCTGCAGTAATTCGCTATTTATTATGACTAAAGCTATATTTTATTAGCATTGCTACTCATGGTAGTGAAAAAAATGATAGTGATGATAACGATAATAAAAATAATCTCTGGAGATTGACATGACTGTAATCATGTGCGATTATAGTATGTTAGCGATGCTGCAACAAAATGCCGAGGTTCAGTTGCGCCAACTGTGTTCATCGATTATCACCATTTACTTACGAATATTATCATTATCATTATTGCTTTCATATTACTGATTTCACTGAGTTACAGAAGCCCAGGACTCGACGAAAGTTACAATGACGCTGGTGGCGAGCTGACCGCAGGAACTCCAACAACCTCAGTGGGTGCCCTCTGCACTGTATTAGTGATAAAACTGGTGGTGGTCGTGATGATATTGGACCAGCTAGGAAGCGATGTCGTCGAGATTCACCGAGGCAACACCACCAAGCAAAAGTAGTGGAAGCAGTACCAAGTACACCGCCAGTACCGCTGATGAGATCGTTTTGGTATTGTTTGATAAGCAACAGCGATTAATTTTCAAATATTAATTTTTTTTTTTTTTACAACAGTGACAGCAGCCGAGCGATACTAGTGATACTGCTATTGTAGATGCTACGACAAATATTGATCCTTAATTAAAAGACTTTTTTTTGTGCAGCGTTCTAAATGTTTGAAGTGACTATTGACCGTTGATCAGGCTTGTTATTTCCTGGGATTTGGGTACCAACAAGAGATTACGGAACGGCCATTACTAAAAGAATACGAAATCGTCACAGCTTACAATGCAAAGATATTTCTTTTTTTTTTTCAAAAAAAATAATTGGCCAACGCACTGGCTGCCCATGCGAAGATGCGTTTTTTGCAAAGTTCCCCGCAGTTTTTGTCGCTACGGGCATCGGTTTTTTCGGCAGGAGATGCGTTTTTTGCAGAGTTCCCTGCAGTTTTTGTCGCTACCGGCATCGGTTTTTTCGGCAGATAATGCGTTTTTTGCAGAGTTCCCCGCAGTTTTTGTCGCTACCGGCATCGGTTTTTTCGGCGATGCTTCAAGCTGAAAGAATTTCAGACTGGCCGCCAGAACTGTCAGGAAACATCCCCTCAAAATTCCAGTCTTCTCACGTTTTCGAGTAAGTAACTTACTCGGAAGGAACTTTTCACGGGCCTGTACGCAAGTACCACGCTTATCCGCGGA